ACTGACTCATCTTTCCAGCTCCATGATCAACATTTTTATGACAGCTGTGTGGTACATGTGCAGTCTTATCTTTACTGTTGTTGTTTCCTAATATTTTCTTTGAACTTCATAAAAAACATAACCATATGACCTTAGCTTCCACATGTAATTTCCACGTGTTGTGTTCAACTAAGAGAAATGCTAAAAACTTGACATTTTCCCGCTCACCAAGGAGAAATGCAAATTAAAGTGGAAAAAAGGTAAAACCCAATACTTTTATTTATTCAGCCTGCTCCTGCTCAAAATCGAGTTAAGGCAGCTAACTCCAAGCATGGCAGAACCTGGCAGGAAGATGGGTGAGGAGCATAGTTAATATCCAGCAAACTGTTCCTGAGGTTCCTGTCCTGGCTAAGGCGGAGGGGCCCCAAAGCTCTACATTTTCAGGAATGTGAAGCACAGTGATGAGAAGGATGAAGAGAAACGAGGTGCCTTCATCTGATCATTCCTGACATTGGTGCCAGGGAGAAGTAAAGCTGAGGAAAGGAATAGCCTCGTCCCAGTTAGCACAGCAGTGGATTTATGGGGCCTTTTCTCCTGCTGCTCCTCTATAAAGATCTATGGCATCTCACCAGACCCACATGGTAAGAGGACATGCCTAAAGCACAGGAACATGGAGTCCAGGGCCAACTTTATGGAGGTCTGACTGAACCCAAGCATGAACTCAATCACGTCCCCCCTGGGAACTGGGGAGTGTGTGTGTGCCTACTGTAGGTGTGATTTTTTTGTTTGCTTGTTTTCGTTTGTTTGTTAACATAGCACTATTAGTTAGCCTTCCTCAAGGATCATGAGCTTACAACAAAGAGCACAGCCTGGTGTTGGGTCCGTGGCTAGGGTGCATGATACCAAGGCTCAGGACTCAGTACTAAAGTACAGGGGGAAAGGAGACATTAGCGTCTTACACACTGTCCACTAGGTAACACTGATGAAGTCAGGGTGGCACTTACAAACAGGAAAATATAAATCCGGGCAGGGAGCTTAGCCTGTAATGGGCCATCCAGTGTGATCCATACTTCTCTCCTGAAAATTATGCTGCAGGATTATACCCACCCAACAGGGCTAAAACCTCCCTCAGAAAGAAACTAGGGCCTTCATCATAGCGCCAACAGTATGCATTCTTCCAAACTCAGAGAAAACAAGATGTGTTACATTCAGTCAAAATTTAAAGTTGTAACATTCTGTCTGTTTTAACCCTGACTTGTTCCTGTTGCTTCATCTGTAGGTCACTATATCTGCAGACCCTGCAGGTACCCACTGTCCTGCTGTTTTGTTTTGTTGCTCAGATTGTCCTAGAAATCACAATCCTGCCACAGTCTCTCCAGCGCTGACATTATAAGCCTGGCATAGGTTAGTAAGAGCCCTTAGATCCTTTGGGAGCCAAAGTCCTTGGCTTCTCTCTACAGATGGTTCTACCGTGGCTTTGCCCAGGGGAGCATAATTTGCTGTCTGTTGGAATAATTAAAGGGCTCCCTATGTTTGCCCTACAGGGCTTCCTGTGGACTCTCCTCATTCCTCTGTTATGCTTCATTCACCAAATAGAAGCAGGAAGAGAGCACCCACCCTATCAGTATGAGATCAGGTCCCTTTTCCTGTGAGAGGAGTAACTTCTTCTTCAACTATAAAAAAAAAAAAATTTGATTGAGAAAGAAAACCAAAAAAGACTTTCTCTGTAAAAATAATCTCCAGTTTCTGTATTTAGCAGGGCTTTTGTTTAAAAGCAATGGCATTTCCTCAGGCTCTGAAATTGTCTTTGACTGTTAGAAACTACTTGGACAAAAAGTTTCTTAGAAAAACTTCCTTTCCAAACATGCCTGTCAACTAGCCCAGGCATTTAAAAAGATATAATTCAAACATAAAAGAGTCCATTTTAAAAAAGATATCTTGAAAGTACTTTCGCCATTCTGGAAGATGCTAGAATATCCATCCCTGACTAAAATGTGTTTCCAATGTGTTTAAAGGTCTCTTCACAGTCTGCTGACATTTGCATCAACTCATAAGCAAGGAGGGATTTAAGGAAATACCAGAGAAATGTGTTCAGGTTATGTTGAACAATAAGAACATTAATTTTTTTTTTCGTGTTTTATCCTTCAGTCTGGGTTAAATTCAGCCCCTAGCACCAAGATGTAATTTGAATTACTGGTGTATAGGGAACTTTTATTCTCGATTTTTATTTTTTAAGTCATTTTAGAAATGTGTCCCTCTTTTTTTTTTCTTCAAATGTACAATTCTGTGCTTTTTACAAATAGTGATATTCCAGCAGCTAAAGAAATTGGAGTTAATTAGAGACGTAATAATTGTAAGATTAAACCACCCTTGAACTGTGTACTGTGTGTTCCTCTGTCCCTGTCTACTTCTATTTACTTTAAATAAAATTTTATTTATTTATTTATTTATTTATTTATTTATTTATTTATCTATCTGTTTATTTATTACTGTGTAGACATGTGTCAGTCAGGCACCATGGAAGGAGTGTAGAGTCAGTTTTCTCCTTCCACCATGTGGACCCTGGGGAACTGAGCTGAGGTCATCAGGCTTGGGAGCAGGTGCTCTGATCCACTGAGTTCCCCCTCTCTCTAGTTCCCCTTCCCTGTGAACACATTGAATATCTGTTGTATGTTAGGCCATGCTTTAGTGACTAGGCAAAAATTAAGGAAAAAAAACCAGGATAGTGCCATTCCAGTAGCGTAAAGTATGGTTAGGAAGATAGACATTAAATCAGCTAATAATAAAAATATATAACAAGGTGGCAAGATGGCTTAGCAGGTTGAAGGTGATTGCTGCAAGGCTGATAGCCTGAACTTTATCTCATATCCCATGAGGTAGAAGAGACCTGACCGGCACATTGTCCTCTGCCTCTACACACATGACATGGCATGTGCACACACACACACCTACCCCCACATGATAGATTAAAAAAAAATAGCCATAGAAATGGTGCCACGCTTCGTGAGCCTAATATAAGATGAGGGTTTAATTTCAGTTTCTTAACACTGGCTCTTGAGCATGAGAAACGTAAAATGTAAGCGCATTGTATCAAACATGCAGTGTTAATGATGAGTGTGTGGGGAAAGGGTGTGTGAGTGCGTGCTCTTAATAATGAGGCCTCAGCGACAGAGGATTGCAGAAGATGACGCAGGCCGGGTGCTGTTAGAACACTGGGGAACATTGGAGTTTGATCTTGATAGTGAGGAGAAACCTTCCAGACATGATACTTCAGGTAGAAGCCAGAGGCAGGCCATGCGTTTCCAGTAAAGCAAAGTGATGGGATTGCAATTTCCATTGGAAAGACTCTCATGGCTCCTCTTTGGAAGTGACTGTGGGACAAGGGGACACATTAGGGGATCATTCAGTCTAAGTCAGAGGTCTGTGCACTCCCAGTGCTGGGCAGGGGTAAAAGGGCTGTCAGGTAGAGCCAGGGTTCTTGATTTCTGTTCCTAAGATATCACCAGTGGCTCTGTGGGGGTTATGGATTTGAGAACAATTTCACATACACATGTGACTTGAGATTACAATGAAATGAGAATTGTAGGACCAAGGGGGAAAAAAGTCTTTAAAATATTTTAAATACTATCCAGCCATAACAGGTTCTTAGAGATGTCTGTGTAAAACTTAATTTGCAATAGTTATCTTTCTTACTATTAATAAGCTCTTTGCATTGAACTGCTTATGTTAGTGTTCCTAAGGGTGGTAAATACCCAAGGGGAAAAATTACTGATCAAAGGCAGTATCTGCCAGGATGGATATATATTGATTCTGAAATTATGAGTAGTGTGAAGCTTGAATAATTCAAAGTTTTCTTTCTGTTTAAAATTAAGTAGATTTCTGCATAATGTATCGTTGATAATTTTTACCTGTTTATGTGTGTGTGCTTCCCCGCTTTCCAAATCATTAAGTATTTCTATGCGCTCTCCTTAAAGCAGGATAAAATTGGATGTGATGGTTGTACATGTATATAAATAAGATCACTTAATATGTGTAAGACACTTAGCAAATGAATATGCATTTTTGTGCCTAGATAGTGAGGTACAGAACTGACTGCATCTACTTACGTTCTAGAGTTTTGTTTTTTGTTGGTTTTGTTTGTTTTACATTTCTGGAAACACAAACACTGCTAAGAATCCCCTACTCAAGCAGGCCTGTTGTCTATTTTAGTACATAGCCATCTTTAGTGGCCACATGAGGGTCCAGTTGTGCTTGGGGATGGAGGGTACAATAAAGTTTTCCATTCTGATGTCTCATTAAGCAGCTCCTCTTTGTGTAAAGTACTCCATGGCGAAGTTGCTTCTATTTAAAGTCCGGAGTTTGATCTTGCCTTTGATCTAAACCTTTTGATCTTGAAAGAAGGATGGAGTAGCAATAAAGAGGGCCCCAGACAGACTTTTTTTTTTTTTTTTTTTTTAAGAAATGTGATAAAGTTAAAGGGCAGCAGAGCCAGCCAGTCCCGGCAGCATGGCAGCCTCTCCTCAGGCCTGGCTGGCACAGAGGGACGGAGGAACATGGGGCAAGTCCATCTTTAGCTATGGAACAGGAGGGCCTCCCTTCCAGGTCCATGGTGATGCAAGAACACGGGACCCCCTAGTTCACCTGCCACCTTGGTGGTGCTGGCAGAAAAGTTGCTACCCCTCGGAACCCCGGGCTCAGGGTCCCTCTATCCCATAGCCTGAGCCTCAGACTAGACCCGGGGGCATGTTGTGTTTGTGGGTGGATGGATGAATGGCTGGCTGGCTGGCTGAGTGGGTCGGTGGGGCGAGGTGCGTAGGCGCATAGGTCCACTCTGAGGGTGCTTTCCGAGAACAATAACAGGACCTGGGCGCCTACACCTTTAAGGCAGGCCCCGCCCCGCCCGCCCGCTTGCCCGCCCGCTCGCCCGCCCGCCCGCCCGCCGAGGTGTCGCGCTTGTGGCGCTGGGCTCCCTGAACTTGACTCGTTCTCCCCGCAGGCGCTGCAGGAGGAGCGCAAGGCCGAGGACTGCTCGCCTAGTAGGCTGGCACGGCAAGTGGGCTCCGAGGTGAGTGTGGCAGGCAGAGGTGGCAGCAGCACCGGCTGCTCAGGTGAGATGGACGGACACCCGTACCTCGGCCTGCTTGAAATGCTGTTGGGTTTTAACTTCAGGTGGCGAAATGGATTCGAATGAACCGCAGACCCCGAAAACGCAAACGAGGGAAGCCAGAAGCCGCCTTTGAAAAGGTAGGAGGCCCCGTAGGGTGCTGCTGGGAGGAGCTCCTGTGTGCTGCCTCGTGCCCGGGATTCCGTCTCCGCTACTAGAATAGCGTTAGGGGAGTTTGTGCTTTCCAGCAAGAAAGCTTTACCTGTGTGGGAAACAGCTGCACAGTGGTGTCCGCCTTGACCGGGATGGGGACCCGTCACGTGCTCCTCACACTGCAGGGGTGCCCCCGAGAAACGGAAGCTTCTTCCAGGCAGACCCCACAAGCAAGGAGCAGCATAGGGGCCCACACAGCCAAACCCTACCAGGAATCCTGTGGGAACTGGCGACCGGCCGTGTGAGAAGTGGGCAACTTCAGACACGCCAGGACCAATTTTCCTTTTTGCTCAGCATTTTTCCTCCTGAATCTGGAATTTTAATAGTTACTTTGTAGACCTTGCTTGCTGCTTCCCGTTTTGAATGCGTGGGGTTGAAACTTGTGATAAATATTTTGAAATCAGGTGAGTAGCCCGTTAGCCCATTTTCTTACTTACTGAAAAGGGGCCAGATGTTAATGATATGTTTTGGTTTTGTCAATTTTGCTTAAATATACTTTTGCAGTTGGGCGGGCAGGGAGGGGGTTATAGCACTAAGGGACTAAAATAGCGGTGTGTTGTTCTGCTGCTGGGATAGATGATGAATCACTGGGCTCTGAAGCCAAATCCTTGCTGATAGCTGTGCTGCCAGCTCCTGTGTTGCCTTAGTATGGGCATCGGGCGTCTGAGAACCTGCACGGAGCTCGCAGTAACGGTGAGGTGGAGCTTCAGTATGCACTCAGGGGCACTCTGGGCCACTCGGAGGAGACCTGGCAAAAGAACTAGCTAGGCATATTGCTGTGGACATGCAAGGGGCCCAAATTATGTGAGAAGTGTTCCCCCTCCCAGCCTTGTAAAGAGCAAGCTGTGTCAACTAAGTTGAGCAGTGATAAGAAAAACAACTCTTAAACAGATGGATTTGGAGCCATAACTTAGATGCTATGGCAGGTGATGGTTGTTGTTCTCTCACAATTTAGGTGGCTTTAAAAGGTTTGTGATTAGTGAATGAGATCATAAAATAGCTAAAGAATGAAAAGCGTCATGGTGTGCCTAGCACTTCAACAAACGTTTGTAGCTGTAATTATTAAACTAGAAATAAGATCAGCCACACGTGGAAAAAGGAGGAGGCATTATCAAGTACTTGGTATTGCCACTACCAAAATCTGAAGTAGTAACTGTCTCTTAAGAACTAGGGAGGGAGTTGGGAGGCAGAGGCAGGCAAATTTCTGAGTTCGAGGCCAGCCTGGTCTACAGAGTGAGTTCCAGGACAGGCAGGACTACACAGAGAAACCCTGTCTCGAAAAAAGAAGAAGAAGAAAAAAAAGAACTGGGGAGGGGAAAACAACGGAGGCCTCCACCTTCCAGTACAGAGGCAGCTCTCACCAACCATCCTTTCATTGTGCCCCATAGGCCTACAGAAAAAGATGCCTCTGACTTCTTCCTAGACAAGGTGGATAGTGGTTTTAAAGAACTCAAAGCTGAGTTGGATAGTCTTCCTTTCTAGGAGTACCAGGACATCAGTGTGCCCAGAGACGCATGTTTGTGTGGGTGTCCCCACCGCTGTCCAGCCCCAACGAGCACTTTCCCTGTCACACCTGGGGGAGAAGTGTCTGACAAGAAAAGTGGGCACTATGAAGGGCCAGGTGAGCAGTCAGATCTGTGACCCAAAGGTTACATTAGAGTGTAATCTGAAAGGCACAGGACCTGGGGGATCACTGAGGTGAGCGTTCAACCCAAGTCTGGTACTAGGACTTGATCCAGTTGCTGGTAGGACCCACAATAGGTCACTCACTGTTGATTCTGATAAGTTACTGAACCTGGCTCATACGTTAATATCTAGCACTCAAAAGGCAAAGGCATGAGTTTAAGGCTAGTCTCGTCTACATAGTTCTAGGACAGCCAGGGCTAAGTAAAGAGATCTATCTCAAAGTAAACTAAACTAAACTAAACTAAACTAAAATGGAAAACAAAATTCGAAATGTCTGCTGGGCCACAAGCAAGTTAACACATGTGTCCTTTCTGTGCCCCACTGTTCATGCTTCTGCTTTCACTAGTTTAGCAAGACTGAAATAAGAGTGTACATGTCAGGCACGCATGTTCTAGACCTCGCTGTTGTCTGCTCCTTTGTCTTCTTTGTCCTTTCCCTCTCCCCTGATGACCAGCTGTCCTTCCTCCATATTCTCCATTCCTCTAGTGTCCTACACCTTCAGGCTCTCAGGAGTCAACCCAGATCAGACTAGACTGGACTGGACTAGGTGGATCTGGCCAAATGGTCTGTTTTCTAGATCCGAGTGACTTTGGCTAAGTGGCCTGTACTAACTATGCTAGGACTGCAATGTTTTCCTTCCATAGGCGGAGGCAGTTCTTACTGCCTGGTGAAAAACAGAACTGTCTGGATATCTTGAGAAAGGAAAACAGCCATGGCAGCAGGCCAGGCTCGGAGCTATGTGGGAAGAATGTCATTTTATGGGAGGCATTTGTTTTCTCCTTAAAGAAATCATCTCAGGTGCTAAATGGTGGGCATAGTCTGATGGAGTTTGAAATATTAGCTGAGAGTTTCAGCCAGAAAAGCAGTGCAGTCTGCCTGTGGAGTCTGAGCTGTGAAGAAGCAAATGGAACAAGTTGAGTGACTGTGTCATCTCACCCCGTAAGTGACTGGAGTGCCTTCCCAACTGCCCTGGCCTCATGTAGCATCTCTCTCTGGCCATTCCTATTACCAGGGAGCCATCTGAAGCACTGTCATTCTCCCCTTTGCATCTCTTTGGGATGCCCCTTGAAGTCCTTTTCCGTGTTGTCCTAGCTCCCTGTCTCTGCCATGGCTGTAACCAGACTAACTCAAGCCTGTGTCCTCTCTCCTGCTCCCGGAATGTTTCCCACCCACTCTGATATTCTCTTTTTTGTTATTTCAAATGCTTGTTGCTTAGTTTGAATAAATTTGGTTACAAAAAAAGTGAGAACATGCAGGGCATACAGACCACTGTCCTGGGCTGGCTCTGTGGGGCTGGTTAAAGCCATGATTCCAACAGTGAGAAGAGTGTGTGTGGGCGCATGTGCGTTCGTGTTAACAGTAATAGCTTTTGCTACATGATCTATCTGGAAGAACACATTAACATTTAACTCAAAGATAAACACAAATTGTGTATCACCATTAATATTTTAAGGTATGTGCATGTGAATAAAGTTTAGATAACTTCATTATTCTAAGAATTAAAATATATAATACAACAGCACCTTATGAAATTGTATATTTTAAAGACAATGCACTTGGAGGTTAAGGTAAGAAAATTCTGTTGTAAGATTCAAAAGACTCCACCTTCTTGGTTACTGCACATTTGAGAACTTAGAGACACCACCACCACCACCACCACCACCACCACCATGTCCATTTTAGCCTTTGTGTGCATGCTGCGATCAGAAGTATTCACAGACTGACTTTCCAGCCACTGGGGTGACTCACAAGCCATCTTTTGTGTCTGGTGTATCTGAAGCAAACATCCAGAGGGAGGTGAACCAGCCTTTGTGAGTCGTAATTGTCGCTGAGACCCAACACTGTTGGCTCCTGCCACAATCTGGACAACAGAACTTTAGAGCTTACAGTTTCTGAAATTCACAGTGAGGTATCCAGGTTAAATATAAAGACAGAATGGGAGAGTGAGACACATGGGACTGAGTTGTCTGTGGCCAACAGCGGCAAGTAGTTAGCTCTGTTCTTGTTCTGATAAAATGCTCAAGTTTGGAGCAATTGAATCTGCTTTTAAACACTTTTCTTATTACCCACATGACCCGTGGTAATCTCTGTTGAAGAAATAATGCACAATGACTTTTAAGTCTGTGTGAACCTAGGGAGGTCTGCATGACATTTACTCCTTATGAGGCACACTGTATACTTGCTACACTTGTGTGGGGTTGTTGGGGGAGGGGGGTGGAAAGAAAGAAAGGAAGGAAGGAAGAAAGAAGGAAGGAAGGAAAGAAAGAAAGAAGAGAGAGAGAGAGAGAGAGGAAGAAAGAAAGAAAGAAAGAAAGAAAGAAAGAAAGAAAGAAAGAAAGAAAGA